GTTATATATACTGACTTCAGTAAAGCATTTGACAAAGTGTGCCACTCGTTGCTCATCTACAAACTTGATCTTCTTGGTCATCCACCTAATTTTCTACGTTGGATCTCTTCATACCTCTATGATATATCACAAAGGATAATGTTTAAAAATACTATCTCTGACGTCATTGATGTTACTTCAGGAGTCCCTCAAGGTAGCCACCTAGGCCCGGTTCTGTTCTTGCTTTTTAAAAACGATATTTCTACAGATATACAATTTTCCAAAATTTTAATATCGTACGTTTCAATTAAAGAAAGGTCTTTGCTACAATCAGACTTAGACAGCATGGCTTACTGGTGTCAAGTAAATCTTATGCCTCTAAATCTTAAGAAATGTAAAGTAATGTGCTTCTCGCGAAGAGCTGTTCATCCCGCTTCTTATACAATAGGTAACTATAAGCTCGAACAGGTATACAATTTTGTGGACCTTGGTATCACAATGGATCCTAAGCTTAATTTTAATCTTTATATTAATGTGACAGTCAACAAGGCTAAAGGTGTACTTGCATTTGTGAAACGATGGTCAAAAGAATTTTGTGACCCTTATATCACTAAAACCCTGGTTACAAAATTAGTTAGGCTAATTCTGGAATACGGTTCGGTGGTTTGGAATCCAAGGTATCAAATTTACTCAGACAAGATAGAATCAATTCAAAAAGAATTCATACTTTTTGCTTTAAGAAATTTCCGTTGGGATTCTCAATATAACCTTCCACCTTATACGAACCGATTAAAACTTATTAATCTTCCTACACTTTCCAGCCGCAGGTAAATGCTTGGTACAATTTTTATAGTTAAATTACTAACAGGCTCAATTTCAAGTCCGCTTCTTCTTGCCGAAGTTAGCCTTACTGTTCCCTCCCGGGTATCAATACACTTTTGCTCCCTGTTTCTGAAAGCTTGTAAAACTAATTCTGAATTGCACGACCCACTCTGTCGCTTATGCCAGGATTTTAACTCTCATTCCAGCACGTTTGATATATCAGAGCCGCTTTTCAGCATTAAGAAATCGATACTGTCCTCTCTCAATAAATGCATCATTAAAATAAAGACATAAAATCGGCTGATGAATTTAGTTCTGTAGCTGAACAGTTTTAGATCTCGACACTTAACAAACTCCTGCCTATCTTGACTCGGCGCAAAAATTGATAATACTGGTTCCGCACGTCATGCGGACTGCGCCCATCGTGCGGATGGGCGGGAATGGAGGGTAAAAAGCGTTGGGATTATTATTATTGTTATATAATATAAAAGTCAGAAATAATTGTTATTTTGGATTTATAATATAAAAATCAAAAATAATTGTTATTTTTTTAATTTTGTACAAAAATTGCAAATAAAAATTTATTTTCGAATTTTATTCTCGGTGAAAAAAGAAATCGATTGGTATGTATCACTTAGTTGTAAAACATTTCCTTCATAGAAAAATTTTCCATGACCGTCTTAATCAATAACTGTTATGTTCGGTCCCTGCTTATAATTTATCCGAAGTGCTGATAAAAGAAGTTCAAATATTTTGTAATGGAGGAGAGGGGGGTCATTATCGTTAAATCGCTTATGACTACCTTTTGGCAGTTCAGCATAAAAGTGTTGAGGCCGAAAGATGTTTTTAATCAGCAGGTTTTTGTATGCAATAACTTCAGGGGAAGATTAGAAGACTCCGCGTTGAATGCTTTGCTGCTCTAATGTACACATTTTAAATACAACAATAAACCGGCAAAAAAAGGGGGTGTGTGTTTGTAACCAGACCCACCAACCAACATGTATTTCAACCCATTGAAACCGAATCTGAAGTCCGCTTGACTCGTACACCATCAAAATGTTAAGTAAATTGCGAAAAAAATTACAAACAATTCGCCATTTCTTTATGGAGTAGAATAAACATGTTTTGTTATTTTTTTTATTAATCATTACTATTTGTATCTAAATTTTGAAATTTGTAATCTTAATTTTTAGAAAAATTTTTGGTATGCAGTAGCGTGGGCCGAAAATCCGCTTTTTTGTGCTTCTATTTCTAATAGCAAAAATATGGTTGATTATGCTCTGAAAAAAAAAATCTGTGCGAAAGATGAAAAATGTTGGTCAATATCTTATGTCGTTTTTTTTTTCTTGAAAAAAAAAAATTGCACCTGTATATGGCAACATTATAAGAGTCCCACATTTTAAAGATATAGCGTGCAATATTCATGTTAAGATGCTGAGAAAAGAACACGAAAACTTGACAGCTTTGGCGCAAGGCAGAATAAATGCAACATTATTTCGAGAAAAAGAAAAGTTATGTCTCCGGGATCACGATTTTACGCATATTTTGGCATTATTACTATAGACGCATCCTTCATTTAACGCGAAGTCAAAAAGTGCTAGTTTTCTTTAAGCTAGAACTGTTATTATAATACATTTAAATAACTGTTCGCTTCCATTTCTTTAAACCGCGGAAAATATTCAGTAAATAATTTTCGAATAAAAACAGCAGATTTTTTTAACTTTTGAATGCGGTTTCATCGAGTGAGCCTTAAACACACAGGTATAAGCGCTTTAAAAAATATGTTTTGACTCAAATCGGCTTTTTGTTATCTTTTTATAATGAAGTTTTCTCGACAACCTTCTCTAAAGTCACTTTCATTCAACACCATTAAAATAACGTAGTACACATATACATTTTTGTGAATCCCTTTTAATATGTACATACGTACATACATAATATGTACGGCTGAGTGGAAGATCGACCAATATCAGCAGCCGATTCGAAAATGCCCTATCTCAGTAAACTTTTCAAGGACGCCCTACTTCAGAGTTTGGTTGGAGAACGTCCTATTTCAGAATTTGATTGAAGAACGCCCTATCTCAACTGAATATTTGAGATAGAGCGTTTTTGAACCGAATTTTGGAATTGAGCGTTCTTGAAAAGTTTTCTGAGATAGGGCGTTTTCGAATTGGCTGCCTAGATGTGGGGCAGGGGGTGAAATAACAAAAAACGGCAATAACGCAAAATTTGCTTTATTTCACTTTTAAATGGGAAATAATACCAAAATGTGAGTTTTTCTTTATTTCCGACAAAGGTTGGAAATAAAACAAATTTTGCCTTATTTCCCATTGCTTATTTATACTATGTATTTGTAAAAAAAAACAGTTTACTGAAAGAAGGAAAAAGAACTTTGTTTATTCCAAAAATACAATTAAACCAAGGCACATTGAACAGGTAATATCAGTATAGCAGCTGATTTGATTTTTTTCAAATTATGTGTTCTCGAAAATGTTAAATACTTTTAATTTCTTCTCACAAAAATTCTAAATTGTTAAAATCTATTTGCATGTGAAACATTTTCCATACAAAACCAGCGATTAAATAGCAGCTTTTGGAAGGCTCGCCCAATTCAGCACCACAACCGCTGATTACAGGGCCTGGCACAGGATGGATCAATGCTTCGAGGAGCGAACCAATTTACTAAGAAAGAAAGTTGCAACAATTTTCATTTTTTCAATTTAAATTTTTTATCTTTTTCGTATTTCGCATGACACGCTTTGATGTAGAAGAAAAAAATCAGAACAGTTTTTGGCACCTTCGATACCAGAAGCAACAACAAAATACAGGCAAATGTTGTTTTTGCTCAAATGCTCTAAACCTGTTTGATAGGCCTTGAATTAAACAAAAAATGTCATATAATTCATATGAAGAAAGTAATATTCACAAAATATTTTTACTTATGAAAAGTCTGCCAAATTATAGGAAAAGCATCGTTTTTAAAAACTGCTCCGCATATTGGACATAGCGCTTTTGTACGAATTTTTTCTGCATGCTTTTTAATATGTTAAAAACATTGCTGGAAAACCTTAAAATGTTTGCATGGAACCATGTCGCAATAAACAGATGAAGTAATAAAACGGCTTTCTCGCTTTATTTTCTGACATTCGGCTGCCTTATAGTCACATTTTATAGGCAAATTTTCAAATAAAGCAGTGGCACCTGGTAAATTCCACTATGGGTGGGATGCATGCAATAACACCATACACAATAATTCCCATTACTTGGACATTAAGCAAAAGGACAAAGCAGTTTCAGAAGTGAACTAGTGTTATTTTATCAATTTTCCTTTTTCTAAACGGTTATAATGCCACTAGTACATAATTGCCAAAGGAGTGGAGGGGCGGCGCGCGAACGCGGACCGCCGCGACGCCGGGCACTTTCAAAATTGTATACTTACAAATCGGTCCATTTAACTTGTTCGTGTACTACTTTTTGTCAAATGTAACTGGGTGACTACCTACATATGTGCACTAGTTTGCTTTATTACTCAAATTGTTAAGTTTAAAAGTTGGTCTTATTGCTCAACGAGAAATGAAATAAAGCAAATTTGTGTTATTTCACATTCAATTGGGAAATAACACAAATTTGCATTATTGCCGTTTGTGTTATATCAGTATAGTTTTTTCAATTGCTCTCTATCTCCGAATTGGGAGAAAACCGCTACAATAACCACATGGAAGAAAAGTTCTGAACTAGAACGATGAATCCGTCTTTAGAATTTCCTTTTTATTTGTTGATGTTTCTTTTTGCAGTTTGCTTTTGAAAATTATACAAATTCTACCCACATTAATCGCAGCTAACTGGCCAATTATCTAGTTCTTTAGACTGATGACATTGACCGTAAAATGAATGTACATATAGTCATTGACATTAATTTAAACGCCGTCGGCGTTGAGCCAAATGGATATAACAAAAAAAAATATATATGTAAAACAGACAAGCGCCAAAAAGTGTTTACTACTAGCAGCGCGCATTTTTCGCCTCGTTTTTTATCTAAATACATAAATGAAAACTATGTATGTACATATATTCGAGTTTATTCAATTATGGCAATTATTTGGAGAAACACTTGTCGAATAAATAAATTTCAATTTCGTTTGCCAAAATAAAATAAAAATTGAGTACTAAAATTTGCAAGCATTGCAGTGTTTACTTACTTTTTGTTTTTGTTGTTGTTTGATTGCTGCGAATATGAGTGCTTAAGTTATTCCTAAACATTATTTGCCTGTAGACAAAATCACACAAATTGATGTCTTCTTTTTCGACTGCTGAAGGCTTCGTCGTATTTTTTGAAGTTTATTGAGCTCAGTTCTTTTTTTTTTGTATTTCAGTTTTGCTGCACTGTTTTTGCTTTCTTTTTTAATAAAATTTTTTTTCTTAAATCACCTTTTCAGGAACTTTTTAATAGTTAAAATTTTAACGATATTAGCCAAATTTTTTGTAGAGTATACGATGTAATTGAAGATCATAAGTTGCACATCACTAGCAGTTGAAAAATATTTGAAATTTTTTGTTTTCTTGCAGGACGCTTATCCTTTTATACAATTTTTATAAAATAAGTTTTGTAATTTAATTCCTTTTTCAGCGATAAGTTGCTTGACTGGCAGTATCACCACCGAAAAATACCAAACTTTATTTACGTAGTATGTCGTTGACTTTTTTGGCGGTATGGTGCGCAAATCGCACTGTTTCGGTGTGAGCTCAGCATCGCTCTGGTCGCAACGATCGTGAGTGTGGCGCTTTGGAGTCTTCTCTAGGTTACGATTTTCCACTATACTGCTACCGATGTTATTATTATTACTGCTTTTGTTTTTGTTGCAGCCACTCGCATTTAAATTTACCCACATATGTAAGTACGTATGTAGATATGTCTGTTCAAATGCAGGGATCACTGCTGTTCGCTGCCCACTGCTGTTGATGGTGGTGCTGGTGTTTTATATCTTTGGTCTTGCTATATGACTGCACTTACATCGATTAACACCACAAATGACTATTTTTGGACTCGACCTGTTTTTTGCCTACGGCATAATCTACGCTAACCGCGGCGGCTATCTTTAGCAAACATCCAACAACTGCCTTAGCCACAGAGCGCAAGCGGTCGTTATTTCGAGCGTGGCTGGTGTTGCTTGACGTCCTACTGCTTGCAACTTTGTATTTGAATAACTTCTATAAGATGTATATTTATTATCGTAAGCCAGTGAATTCCTTGTCGTATAATAGCGCTGCTGTCCGCGTTGTGCGCTATTTTTAGCCTGATCTGTGCTATAGTTAGACACGCGCGAAGTTAGAGCGTTCACTTACGCCGCAGGTGGGTATGACAACTGGGGCCAATTGGGCGCCTCAGCTGTTGTTGTAGTTTGTTGCTTGCTGTCGACTGTCCAGCGCTTGCTTATTGTACTGATGTTGCTGTTTTTGTAGTTGGGCTGTTTGGTATGTATGTGCTACGAGCATGTAGCTTTTTTTTAATTTGATATATTGCTAACACCACTTACGAAGGCTAAAACACTGCGTTTTTCTGTTTTGTACACAAAAAATATATCTTTGGCGCAACTTTGTGTTTACAATTCTATATATAACGCTTGTGATTAGACGGTGGAATATTTGTTTGCTATGTCTTTTGTGGACAGGGAATGTTCGAACTTTAATGAATTTTTTTTATTTATTTTAATCTCTTGCCACTTGTACATATGTTTGTGTATTTATGTGCATATTTATGGAATTTTATTTGGTATTCAGTAAACGTGTAGTAATAGTTTAATGAGCTGGTTATAAATATATTCTTCCTCCCACTGATTTATTATTCACAATATAACATGCGTAGCGCGTGTTGCTCACCGTTTCACAGCCAAATTGTAAAAGAGCCTCCTAAGAACTGAGTTGCCGGCCACAGCTTCGTTGTTGCTGTCGATTCGTTACTCTTGGCTAATTATCATTTTAAAAGTACAATAAAATAAACAGTAAACAAAATTATGATAATAATCACGCTAGCCGTACATACAAGCGTTCATACAAAACAACAAATGCTACTGCTCAGCTACTAGTTTCACTCAGTGTTACTACGGCGTGGCGGCTACTGGCTATCTGTTGTGTTTGCTATTTATGATTCTTCGCGGTTACAGATGTTGGAACAATGATTAAATTAATTGCTAGGCATGTTGCTGAGGCTTTGCGTATTTAGTGTTTCAGTTCCAGACCTTTAAATCCATTTGTGGAATGTCTGATTGAACTGACAGTTTTGTGTGTAACGGAAATGTTTTCGTTTAGATTAGGACCATTCCGCTGTTTAGTAGAAAATTTCCTTAAAGCATAAACAGACGGCAGCGTTGATCCGAATTAACTCGGGAATTAACTGCAGTTGATCCGGATTAAGTCCAAGTTAGTCCGGATCAACGCTGCCGTCTGTTTGAGCTTTTAGATGTGTATCTTCCGTTTTTGGTGCAACCAGAAAGAGCATTCGATGAAAATGTGCAAACCCTCGCCAAGGTTTTGAAGGAATTGTTCCTCAAAAATCTGAGACGCATCCTTTGAAGCGCAGCTTCATTCTTACAGGTTCTATAGAAATCGATATCTCGGAGGCCGCGGTGGCTGAGTACTATCACTCGGTAAGTCCTGGGTTCATTCTTTGGCCCGAGCAACATATAAATTAGGAAAAGTTTTTCCAACAAATGACAAACCTCTGAGTCTATTTCTACCTTAAAAAAGTTTCTCGTAAACCATTTTTCATTTGTAGGCGGCGTAAAATTGTAGGTCCTTAAATTTGTGTTATGACATCAGGACACACACCACAAATTGCATAAATGATGAAGTTATAAAACAAAATCTCATATCGAAACAGTCATTTGTATGGGGGCTATATGTTATAGTCGTTCGATTTTGCCGGTTCCGAAAAATGATTAATACATTATAAAAATACACCCGCTTACCAAATTTCAGTCGGATATCTCGAACACTGAGGGACTCGATTGCGTTCAAACAGACAGACATACCAACGGACAGACGGAGATGGCTAAATCCAAGGCGCATCTATACAAGATGGTGTTAACAGAAAATCTGAGTTGATATTTTTGTCTTCAGTAGTACAGCAGAATGTCATTCAAGACGAAATGGTGTAACTTAAGCATGTCATCAAAACGAAATGACGAAAATTATCTGCTATTTTCTTTCGATTTGACATCCTGATGTACAATGGCAATGACAATAACAAATACACGATATTTTTACTTACATGCGCTTGTTATATGGATGCGCCTTGGCTAAATCGGCTCAGCTCGACGTTCTGATCATTTACGATCAAGTTTTTGAAGGGCTGGTTTTCAAGCCTGAAAACTCTTCAAGCGTTCCTCGGAAGTGAGAGGAAAGTTGTTTGAAATTTAGTGTCACAAAAGAAAAGAAAGCAGTTGAGAAGAGAAGGCTGAAGAGATTCCAGCTAATTTTTCTCTAAGCAGTTATCACCACGGTCACGGGCCTAGGCTCGATCCCAGTTTCCGAGTAACATCAGAAAAGAAAAAGTGTAGTGTATTCTACCATGGAAAAAAGCTTCTCCTAAAAATGCAATCGCCGTTCAGAGTCGGCGTAAAACTGTAGGTGATCCCCCTTTGTGTGACAACAAACACTACCGGTAGGGATGTTCAAATAAGATCGGTGTTTCCAAAAATCGGTTTTTTTGAATTCGGTTAATGATATTTTTCAGTCCTTTTTTTAATTTAGGCGTAAATCGTTTTTTGCTTTTAAATCGAAAACCGAAAATTCGGTTTTTACATTCTCCAGCAATGGATCATTATATTACAATTCGTCGAGATAAGAATACCATTTTACGACGTACCACAAACTTCAAATTAACTACTCAGTTTTGGTTTGCTGATATAGTAGCTAAGCATAATCGATTGTGAATATTCAAATTTCGTACAAAGTTTGAAACTTGGATTTATATGTCGTTTGTTAAAATATTACCCATATTTTAATAAAAAATGAAAGAAATTTATTTACCATGAAAATCAGCCCTTGGCTCGTTAACGCATAATTCTTTTGCAGAGAAATCGTTAATAATGTATTTCTTCTATACTAATTTGTATCTATACTAATTTGTATATTGAGAAAAGTCGTTTTTTTCTGTTCGCAAAGCTCGAGGTCGGCTGTACTGATTTTTTTGGAATTTCGGTTATTGGAGCTATTGGAAAAGAGGGCGTTGTACCTCCCATACAACCCGAATATTTCATACCGCATATTTCTGGAAGCGATCATGGTAAAGTACGGAAATATATGAAATCAATCACATACTCATGGAGAAAAAAATGGAGTTATTGGAAAAGGGCGTGGCACCTCCTATACAAACCGAAATTGTTATACTGTATATCTCTGTTCTCTCTGTTCATGGTAGAGTACTGGAGCTTTGTATGGAGATATATGAAAACAATTGCATATACATGAACAAAAATTCGGACTAATTTTAAAGGAGGCGTGGAATATTCAAAACATGTATTGGAAACGGTAAAGGCAGTCCAATTGCCAGGTGATGCTGAGGTCAAGTTATTACTAAAAATCGTTAAGCGAGAAAAGGGGCCGTAAATGTCAGACTAAATCGACCTGGTGCACCATTGAGTATATCGAACTCTCGTGTTTCACGATTGGCCCAATGGATGTGATTTGCCAATATTATTATACGTTAAAGCTTCATTTGAAGAAACCAGGGTTGAGTTGTCCAGTGGTAAATCTCAAATCACCACCTGTCGAAATACCTTAAAAGCCAGTTTCATGAAAGCAATTTAATGAAAATTTATTTTTTCAATTGAATTTAATATAGAACCTGACAGAAAAAAACATTTTTCACTTAAATTACTCTCGCGAAACTAGCTTTTAAGGTATTTCATCTCAGTCTATATATGTATATTGTATTTCTGTTGAACAAGGATACGGATTCATTTTGAAATTTCCACCAATTATAAGATAAAGTTTCTAGGGCACATTCACTATAGATCCGGATCAGTGTTGCCACCAGCGAACTTCTCATGCACATAACACTTTCGTTCAGTTATTTAAGGCGACAAACGACCACCGAACCATAGCCTTAATCGATGATGTGCCAGTCCAAATCGTAAATGTGGATTGTTGGAGAAACTGTTGGACCAAAATGTTTAAATTAAAAATAAAATTTTGGGCGGGACGAAGTTCGCCGGGTCTGCTAGTATCTATATATTAATACGCTAACGAAATCCCGTACAAATCTATTCATCCCTACTGCTCCTATGTTTCTCAACCAATTTTAATGATTCTTCTTTGTTCGAAAGGTA